TATCTCGTTTATGTTCGAAAACACGAGATTTTTAAGGACCTACCTGTTTCACCCACATATTTTAGGTCACAATTTTTGCATGATATTTGATAGATGCAAGCATCGGATGTAATATGTTGTCTGCTGGTGCTATTTAATAAACTACGGATAGTCCTAGTAGGTAATATAGTAGTTCTAATTTTTAATGCATTTAGATTATGAGAGATACGTTCGGTCAAATGGTTATTTGGTAAAAGATGCGACCAAACGAAATATTATCAGAGGTAGCTGAAATTGTATCTTTCATTGATCTAATTGTAGTGGCCTTTGAGGTGTCATTTTGCGCTGATGAGTGAATTTTCAACGCTTTATTTTTAGCTCTCTGTAATAATTGTCTCGGATAGGAAAGATTTGAAAAAGGTATCCTCAATATATGTAAATTCATCATTTAAATATTTTGATGAACAGATGCGAAGAGCCCTCAAATAGAATCCAATAACAATACCCCTCTTAGTGTTAGTATCATGGTGAGAGTAAAAATGTAAATAGTCATTTTTACATGTAGGTTTACGATATACTTTGAATTCTAATTTATTTTTTATTATTAATGAGTAATATGTCTAAAAAAGGTAAAGAATTATTAGATTCAAGTTCATAGGTAAATTCAATAGTAGGTTCTATTCTATTTAATCTATCAGTAATCTCGTTTAAATCATGCTTATGTGGGTAGATAAATAAAATGTCATCGATGTATCGAAAGTAATGTGTATCAGGTGGAATGACATCTTTAAAAGGTCCAGATTCAAGAAATTCTAGAAATATGCATGCTAGGAATCCAGAGAGAGGACTCCCCATCGGTAAACCAAATTTTTGTTTATAATAAATATTATTATATTGGAAGAAACAATGTGAAGTGCAAAGGATGCATAATTTGATGCATTTCGAGATAGAGATAGGTAGCTTAAAGTCAATTTTCTTAAGGTGGTTCTCTAATTGTTTAATGCATTTATATTATAAATTTCTGGGCACCGTAAGTAACGCACATATAAAGAATTCAGGCTCTCTTTTAAATAAGTTGAGAAATATTGATATAGATAACAAATTACTAGCTAGCTTAGACATCAAATCTTTATATACTAATATACCTGTTGATAAATGCATTAAACAATTAGAGAACCACCTTAAGAAAATTGACTTTAAGCTACCTATCTCTATCTCGAAATGCATCAAATTATGCATCCTTTGCACTTCACATTGTTTCTTCCAATATAATAATATTTATTATAAACAAAAATTTGGTTTACCGATGGGGAGTCCTCTCTCTGGATTCCTAGCATGCATATTTCTAGAATTTCTTGAATCTGGACCTTTTAAAGATGTCATTCCACCTGATACACATTACTTTCGATACATCGATGACATTTTTATTTATCTACCCACATAAGCATGATTTAAACGAGATTACTGATAGATTAAATAGAATAGAACCTACTATTGAATTTACCTATGAACTTGAATCTAATAATTCCTTACCTTTTTTTTTAGACATATTACTCATTAATAATAAAAATAAATTAGAATTCAAAGTATATCGTAAACCTACATGTAAAAATGACTATTTACATTTTTACTCTCACCATGATACTAACACTAAGAGGGGTATTGTTATTGGATTCTATTTGAGGGCTCTTCGCATCTGTTCATCAAAATATTTAAATGATGAATTTACATATATTGAGGATACCTTTTCAAATCTTTTCCTATCCGAGACAATTATTACAGAGAGCTAAAAATAAAGCGTTGAAAATTCACTCATCAGCGCAAAATGACACCTCAAAGGCCACTACAATTAGATCAATGAAAGATACAATTTCAGCTACCTCTGATAATATTTCGTTTGGTCGCATCTTTTACCAAATAACCATTTGACCAAACGTATCTCTCATAATCTAAATGCATTAAAATTAGAACTACTATATTACCTACTAGGACTATCCGTAGTTTATTAAATAGCACCAGCAGACAACATATTACATCCGATGCTTGCATCTATCAAATATCATGCAAAAAATTGTGACCTAAAATATGTGGGTGAAACAGGTAGGTCCTTAAAATCTCGTGTTTTCAAACATAAACGAGATATTCGTCTCGGTATTTAACAATGCTTTAGTTGTACACACAACTAAAGCAGATCATAATTTCGATTTTGATTCCGTGAAAGTATTAAAATATTTTCATAATAAAAATCTCAGGAGGATTTATGAAGCAGGTATAATATCCATCTCACGCACGGTGAATACTAGACCTGGTTTTTTAATATTTCCCTTTTTTAGCGAGATTGATGCTCGACAAGCATACACATAAGAATTTTGGAACCTAATAGAATTCTTTTCATTTTCTTTTTCTTTTTCATTTCAAAATAATTACAAACTTTTAGGAATACGTTATGAAAGCGTCGCCCATGTGACGACAGCGTGACCATGTTAGACGGAAGGCTGATCATTTTAAAAATTTTCAGTTATCTGTTCTGAATAAGACTTGTGTTTTTATGTCCATAGTATTTGTCATATTGAACTGAATTGTATTTTGATGAATATTGTCTTGAAAAAGGTTTAATAAACCGAAACGTCAGACGTCGACATTTCTTTCATTTAACTACATTTAAGGATTTTTGTTTGTTTTTTCAAAATTTTTCTTCATATATATATATATATATATATATATATATATAATTAATTATTATTATGTTATATATATAATTATATACCCGCTGCCCCACGCGAGAAGATGTGGCACAAGACCGAGTTTAAAGTGGGGTATCCGAGCCCTATAGACCACGTAAAAACGGAGTCAGTTTCTCAAGACGAGATTCTGCTCTTCCGCAGAGCCTCGTCTGGGGGATACCCTTTGACATAAGACAGGTAAGTATATATATATATATATATATATATATATATATATATATATGTAGTGTATAAGGGCAACGGATCAGTTTTCACATGAGCCATCATCAGAGTGGTTATATGGACATTACCACAAAGATGTTTTCCAACAAAGGTGACATCTTCTTACGTATACATAGACGTTTACGAATTTACCGCCTGTGTCTGCTATTCCGCGACCGTTATTTTCGCATAGCACACTTTTTTGCATATTTATAAGTTTACCATTCGCCAATGCTTCGAGTATTGCCGCCACAAATTGTCTGGTATTCCTGCTATACATTTATTATATTATATTATTATTATTTCTTGATAATATCCAAAGAAGGATATGGATCTCGGCTTTCGTCACTTTCACATTGCCATAATGTAGATTCCTTGTGTCTTTTCTATAAATACGTTAATGGTAATTGTTCTAAAGCGCTTTGCTCTATGGTAACAAGTCTTTAAGAAGTGAAACGCAGTACTATATTGGCAATTAGGTCTCGTCCTGTACGTACTCGTAAATGTTTTGTAAGTTTCTTTTCTCGCATTTCTCGCTTGTATAAATTTATTCCAGTTTCATGCTTTCCAGCCAACTTTGATCTTCAAAAATTTAAATAAAATGCCAAACGTTATCTTCTGTCTTCTTAATTCCTCTTCTTTTTTTGTTTTAACACTTTAATAATCTTTTTCTCATTCTTTCAAGCTCAATGCCCCTTTGTGTCTTCGTCGCTTTATGCCCTTGAAATGATTACCAAAACATACTGACGGACGTATTCTCCAAATTCTTGAATTATTATTATGACAAACTAAAGTCTTTTGCAAGAATGGCATTTCTAATTGTTGTGAATCGTTAGACGGAAGTTACTCAAAATAATTGAGCATACTTTAATAAATATATTCTCAATTTCTGGGATGAAGAGTTGTCATTATTTACACTATTTAAATTCGGACTATTGTCCTCATCTTTGTTGTTGTTATCCCAACATTTGGTCGCTTTGCTCTCCGGCCTTCATCAATTGCATATCGACCCAGGTGCCACCGTAGATTAAATGAAGGTTTCGGTTTGGAATTCCATGTAGATTACTCGGGTCAATATACAACTGATGAAAGCCGGAAGGCACAACGGTCGAAAAACGTTGTGATAACAACAGCTAAAACAGTAGTTCGAATACAAATAGTGAAAATAAATGTATTCAAATTATACACGAACTGTTTTCTAAGCTCAAGTTCAAACAGTATTTATGAATAGAGCTGAATAAATTAAAGACACTCACGCCCATAGAGACACAGACACAAGTTAAGAAGATTACTATAATGTGAGAGCAGACTAGAGAACTCGGACAATCATCCAGAATTAAACTAATTACACATTAAAATGGTCTGGCGAGCAATGTTAATATTCCATCGTCTTGTACTGAGTATGAACAGACACGTGTGCGTGCGTGCGCGTATGTGTGTGCGCGCGCATATGTGTGTGTGTGTGTGTGTGTGTGTGTGTGTGTGTGTGTGTGTGTGTGTGTGTGTGTGTGTGCACGTATGTTAAGTTAACTGCATTGTAAATGAACGGGTGATTCTTAAATAAAAGTTTGACCTTAAGCCTAACCTCAACAGTGATACCACACACACGTACGTATATATATATATATATATATATATATATATATATATATATATATATATATATATAACTATTATGGTATTGTCAAGCTCGTCGATTTTCCATAAATGTCTTGATTGCAATTCAGCTCTTGTAAAACCGTTTATAATCGCATCAATAGAACCTCCATCATAATTACAATGTTCTTCTACTCAACAAAATCGTTACAGCTGCCATTAAGTTTTTTTGTTAGCAAATTCTTTCTGTCGGAACAGAGTCGACGCTATCTTTGTCAGTCCAGTGACCACCACTGCAAATAGTATCGGCGTCATCTCTTCCCATGTCCGGCTCTGAAGCAATATAGAGGCCATTATGTACGTGATCAGTGGAAGCGAAATGACTAAACAAGAAGCATGCAAGCAACCAAAAGACGATAATTTGACTTAAATAATAGAATAAACCAGGTCGGATACAGAAAAGCGAACACGAAATACTGATTATAGGGATAATTCTCTTTGGGACGGACGGGTTGAGACTGAGACAAGAGAAGAATTGAAAATAAGAAGAAAAGAAATGATTATGGGCAAAGTAGAAGTAGATGTGACAAGAGAAAGTGTATTTACTAAATAGTTTAAAGTCAGAGAGAGAGAGAGAGAGAGGGAACAATTGGAAGGAGAGATATTAATAAGAGACCTGGGAAAGAAAAGAGAAAACTGGAAATATGAGGCGTCAGATATAAAATGTAAAGAATAAAAGAAATTTAATGTATTGAGATTAAGAAAGGAAAAAAGAAAGAAAGAAAGAAAGACATTGTAATAAAAATGGAAGGCTAAGAAAGGAAGAAAGAAAGAAAGAAAGAAAGAAAGAAAGAAAGAAAGAAAGAAAGAAATTGTAATAAAAATGAAAGAAAGAAAGAAAGAAAGAAAGAAAAAGAAAGAAAAAAAAGAAAGAAAGAAAAGAAAGAAAGAAATTGTAATAAAAATGGAAGGCTAAGAAAGAAGAAAGAAATAAAAAACAAAGAAAGAAACTGTAAGAAAAAAAATGGAAAGGAAAGAAAGAAAGAAAGAAAGAAAAAGAAAACAAATAAAAACAAACAAACAAACAAAATGGTTATAAAAATGGAAGGCTAAGAAAGAAAGAAAGAAAGAAAGAAAGAAAGAAAGAAAGAAAGAAAGAAAGAAAGAAATTGTAATAAAAATGGAAGGCTAAGAAAGAAAGAAAGAAAGAAAGAAAGAAAGAAAGAAAGAAAGAAATTGTAATAAAAATGGAAGGCTAAGAAAAAAAGAAAGAAATAAAGAAAGAAAGAAAGAAATTGTAATAAAAATGGAAGGCTAAGGAAGAAAGAAACAAACAAACAAAATGGTAATAAAAATGGAAGTCTAAGAAAGAAAGAAAGAAAGGAAGAAAGAAAGAAAGATATTGTAATAAAAATGGAAGGCTAAGAAAGAAAGAAAGAAAGAAAGACATTGTAATAAAAATGGAAGGCTAAAAAAGAAAGAAAGAAAGAAAGAAAGATATTGTAATAAAAATGGAAGGCTAAGAAAGAAAGAAAGAAAGAAAGAAAGAAAGAAAGAAAGAAAGAAAAAAAGAAAAAATATGATAAAGATGAAGAGCATAATAAAGAAACAAACAAACAAAATTTGCGAAAATGAAAGTCAAAGAAAGAAAGATGTGATAAAATGAAACACAAAGAAAGAAAAAAGAAAGAAAAAGAATGACTGAAAGAAAGAAAAAAAGAAAGAAAGACAGACAGAAAGAAAAATCATTAGAAGATTGAAAGAATGGAATTTTGAAATACGAGTTGATGAAAAGAAGGAAAATAAAACTAAAGATGTAGAATATTATATTAAAAGTGAATAATGCATAAAAACAATGAAATTAAAAAAAAAAACAGAATAAAAATATAAAGTCGGGCATTGAAGGTAAAAAAAATTAAAAAATATGTGAAAGGAATAAAGTGAAAATGAAAGAAAATAGCCAAAAAACGGAAAGAAACAGTGGAATATTTAGAAAAGAATAAATTGAAGAGATTATTTCGTTAATGAAAAGATCCGAATAAAAACATTGAAGGAAGAAACAGAGATAGAGAAAGAAAATAGGGAATGAAAAATAAAGGCATAAAATGAGGTTGATTTGTAGAAAGAAAGAAAGAAAGAAAGAAAGAAAGAATGAAAGAATGAAAGAAAGAAAGAAAAAAGAAAGAATGAAATGAAAATTGCAAAAATAACAAAATAAATGAAAACGACAAAAGAAAGAAAGGAGAAAATGAAACCAACAAAAAGAAAGAAAGAAAGAAAGAAGTAAATGGAAACGAAAAGAAAGAAAGAAAGAAATGTAAATGAAATGAAAACGACAGAAGAAAGAATCAAAAAAGGAAAAAGATGGAAGGAAATAAAAAATCGGGAAAAGAATCAAAGAAAGAAAGAAAAACCGCAAAAAGGAAGAAATGAAAATTGCAAAAATAATGAAATAAATGAAAACGGCAAAAGAATTAAATAAATAAAGAAAGAAAGAAAGAACGAAAGAAATGGAAAGAAAGAAAGGAAGAAAGAAAAGAAGAAAAAAGAAGGAAAGAAAGAACGAAAGAAATGGAATAACAGAAAGAAAGAAAGAAAGAAAGAAAGAAAGAAAGAAAGAAATGAAGCCAGCAAAAAGAAAGAAAGAATTAAATGAAAACGAAAAGAAAGAATGAAATAAATGGAAATGAAATTAAAACGACAAAAGAGAGAATGAAAAAAAGAAAAATGATGGAAAGAAATAAAAAAATCGGAAAAAGAATCAAAGAAAGAAAGAAAAACCGCAAAAAGAAAGAAAGAAAGATAATGTAACTGAGAAAAACGGAAAGAAAAAAGGAAGAATATTTAACTAAGAAATGTGAAGGAAAAGAACGAGAGAAAAGTGAGGGGAAAAGAAAAACCGGATAAAAGAACAAAGTGGTATTTACAAAGGAAGGAAGCAGATAGTGAAGAAGAAATGGAAAACATTCAAAGATAGAAAGGAGGTAGATAGAAAGAAATTAAGCCAAAGCACAGATCGTCAGCAAGTTGGGTTTTTTTTCTTTTTTGTTTCTTTTTTTGCTGATGCAACTGCTGACGGTTTGAGGGTATAGGATTAGGCTACAGGTTGTGCACGAATGATAACGATGTTTGCCTTTGGTCGATGGAACTGAGGATGAAGGAAGGGCGCGGTATTGAAAAAAGCCTGCCTGCTCGTGGGTGCCTGGGAAGATGGAAGCGACTGGTGGCATGATGATTGGACAGTAGAGAAGCAGTCAGGCAAAAAGGTTCACCAAAGCTGAACCGGCAACGAGCAACAATAACCAATTAGCAGTTTATCGATTTCATATCTTACCGCCCTTCACTTATACATCTCCTGCTGCTTCTATCATCTACGTCACCATATCTAAAGGTCTCACTCACTCTCTCGCTCACTGCCTCCCTCCCTCACTCTTCGGCTCTCTCTCTCTCTCTCTCTCACTCACACACACTCTCTCTCTCTCTTTCTCTCTACACACACACACACACACAAATATATATATATATATATATATATATATATATATATATATATATATATATGGATAGAAAGCGACAAGAGGAAAAACTATACTTAGATGGCGCCTTTCGTCCCCCAAGGGACTTTTTCAAGGCAATGTAAGATTTATTATACTACACGTGTTCATATATATTTTCCCAATCTCACCTTTCTAAGTCAACATACACAACAACGAATATGTCGAAAGATGAAAACAAAATGGTTAAATCCATCATTTTAGCCTTTGAAGATGTACATCACGTAAATCCATCTCATACTATAATCTAATCAGAATCCACATAATAATGATAAAAAAAAATTATTAAATATTACTGGCTCACTTTACTTTTCAGCAGACTTTGAATTAGGACTATATATATATATATATATATATATATGTGTGTGTGTGTGTGTGTGTGTGTGTGTGTGTGTGCGTGTGTGTGTGTGTGAAAAGTGTATATAAATAAATATATATATGTATAATTATTTCTATATTATATGCGCGTTACTTATTAGAAAGCGCTCAATATCAGAGATAGAGCTAACATATTTGGTTGGATAGATGTGAGTTTAGCGATCGTGGGTTTCGCTAAAGCGTGAAACCCAGGGTCACAAACTCACATCTATCCAACAAATATATATATATATATATATATATATATATATATATATATATATATATATATATATATATATATATCCCTCCAGCTATGGGTAAATAGCAGGACAGACTGAGTTCTATAGCCTTGGGTGGCAACTGGTCTAGGAGAAAGACAACTCTGAATTCAAAACCTGCTGAGGGTCGTTTGGTAACCTTGTGGCACGTAGTGCACCAGGTCTCTGTATTTGGCCCTTCAAAAAGTATGGATGGTCCTGCACTAAACCTTCACCAATATAATCAAATCTCATGTGCTGCTGTCGGGCTTTCGGTTCCCTGGGAACTGATCTGCTTGACCCTCGTACGTCGGATTCGACGGAAGAGTCGAGCGAGCGATATATATATTAAAATAATAAGAAAGAGCAGTAAGATTTATAATTCGGTGTTCTTTTTTAAAAAAAAAATAGTTTTCGATACAAACAGTAGCGCATAATATTATTTTCTTTTTGAAAAGTATGATTACTACACTGAAATTTCTGTTTCAAAACTGACACTAAAGTTGTAAATTTAATTATAAAAAGTAAACTGAAAATCCAGTTTCGAACCATTGTCAAGCGTTATTAGGATTAACTTTCTAAGAAATATTAATTTATAAGCGCAGACAATATTATGAGTTGTTAAGGTTAAGGAAAATTCAATCTATTTTGATTAGGGTGGTTGTGTTTTAATTTATCTAGAAAACTTATGTATTAAAGTTCCAAAAGCCTTCCGAATGGGTTAGTCTAAGTAATGCTGCTAGTCTAGTGTAATAATATAATGGGACTTTTGAGGCATTATGTTAAACTGGGGGTCAAAACTGTTGCATATGTTCTCAGAATTCAAACAGCAAAAGGTAATTGAAAAATATATTTTACTTTCTCAATGAGTTTTAAGTATCTTTAGGATTCTAACTATAGACAAATGATGACCAGTATTATGCACTGAAATGATTCGGAACTCTTAGATCTCGGCTTATTAAACGATACATTATGAAGGACATTACAGCTGCTGAAAATCTCGGCAAAGATTATTAGAAATGAAATCACATCATTAAATGGATAATTACAAAACTATGTTTTGTTTTTCCGTAAATATTGTGAAATGCGAGGAGACGTGGTTTTACGAACGAAGTCAAAACAATCGGAGTTAATGGCTGGATGCTACAGAATTCAAAGGACCTGAGGCAAAACAAAAATATTTATGTTTAGTCTTTGGTGGAACTTTGAACAAATAATACAATTCTCTGCCAAATGTTAGTGCCATCAGGTCAGACCTCAACCGCTCGACAAAATGACTGTTTCGATCAATAGAGTTCGCATGCATCATAAAAATGCTTGACTTCCTATTTCTAGGGTGATTCAAGGAAAACTAAAAGGTCTCAAAGAAATCGAATTTCTGCTTCATTCAGTATGGAGTATGAAACTTTTTTTTCCTTCGAACTATGACATTGTTTGGTCTGTGGTATTTTCCTTGAGGCAGAGTTTCATAAATGCTAAAAAATCTGAATAGGCATAAAATGTGAATTTTTATTTATTTTTATTTATTTATTTATTTGCTGCGGAATCAAAATAAGCTGACAATCGACTAACTAGCGAAAAGTGATGAAGAAATAATAGATATTATTTTGTGTGGAAATTTTACATTAAAAGCTTACATAAAAAATGAAAATATATTTGATACATCTCTTTTTTTCAGGTGTTCCTTTTTATCTGGTTTATTGTTTTCTTCTACTCTTTGCTTCTTTTCATGTTCATTGCCTTAATTGTCTTTCTCTTGATTTTTTCTTTTATTGCTATTTTTTCTTTTATTTCAACGCATTTGCATTTTTCTAATTTTCTAAAACGCTACAGTTTCGTTTTTAATTTTCTTTCATTTAAACAGACATTTTTCTCTTTCTATCTATCATAAGAAATTCCCTTCTTTCTGAAATTTCCTACTTTACACACATTTTCTTTTTTTTTGTCCTTTTTCTTTATTTAAATTACTTTTTTTTTCATTTTTCTCTTTCTCTCTCTTCTCACTTTTATTTGTTTTTGAATTTATTGCTCTTTCTTCTTTTCCGCTTTTATCTTTATCTTTCTTGATGACTTTTGAAAACCTATCCTTTTTAAGATATTTTTTCTTTCATTCTTTTATTTGAATTACTTTTTTGAAAATTGGTAAATTCATTTTTATTCTTGTCTTTTCTTCCATATATCTTTCATTCTTTCTTTCTCTTTCCTTTCATTCATTCTTCATTGGTTACTCTTTCGTTACTCCTTAGATTTCTGCTTTTAACTTTCGTTTAATTCTTTTTCGGATAATATGCTAGGTTGCATTTTCCTCGCTTCATAATCTTCGATCGATTGTCTTCTCTTGCAACCGTCCCACATTCTACCAATCGCTTTTATTTGCTTTGTCAGTTATATATTTTAGTCTACCAAATTCAATTTCAGTTATCTTGTCTTCTTTCAAATTGTACTTGTAAAATATATACATTACTACGTGCATTATTCACAAATCTACAGCGAATTTAAAAGATATATATATATATATATATATATATCTTGAAAGATAGATGCAAAAACGAAATTGACGCACTCTCAATCATAATCATATTTATATACATTCTCATCCACAAACAGTATGTTTCACAGCTCATCAGTGTGGCAAGACGTCGTGCTGCCACTAGCTAGGATCGAAACCCAACCGAATTGGCGTCAGTCGGAGAATCTACCCCTAAGCCCTTCGTATATATATTGAATTTAATGCTCTTTCTTCTTTTTCACTTTTGCCTATATCTTTCTTGAACAGTTTTTTAAACTGAAGAAAAGAGGAAAAAAGAATATATATATATATATATATATATATATATATATATATATATATATATATATATATATACGTATGTATGTATGCATGTATGTCTTTCTGTCCTCAATATATATGTCGTTCTGTTCATCGATCAGTCTGCTTGTCTGTCTAAATGTGTTTATATTTGTCTGCCTATTCATATGCAAATCTTCTCATATTTTGTTATGGTGCAAATATATATTTATATATATATCCACCTATTCGCTCCTTTCTCTCTCTCTCCCTCCCTCCCTCTCTCTCTCGTTTAGTGTGACTCAGTTTCTTACTATTTATTATATATATATATATATATATATATATATATATATATATATATATATATATATATATATATATATATAGATAGAGAGAGAGAGAGAGAGAGAGAGAGAGAGATAGAGAGATGTGTTTGTGTGTGTGTGTGGGTGTTTGTGTGTGTGTGTTTGTCTGTAAAAATTTAGATATAAATAAAATAAAGAGACAATATGCATAAAGTCAAAAGTTTAGCTAACTTTCGCTAAATCGGCATTAAGTTTAATCATTTTTGCATCTTCCATAGTTTACATTAAATTTCACATTTAGCCTTAAGAACATTTATGAAAGTTTCAAAAGAAATTCGAGAACTGAAGATATATTTACTTCTGTTTATAAATACATACATGTCAAATAGATGTCAGCTATCAGCTGTTAATTCATTTCTCCAAGTTCTCGACTGCCTTAACCAGGTATTGAACTCACATTTTTGGGGTCCTGTCACTGGATCTAACTAACGTCTTTATCCACTATGGCATGTGTCCTCAAGGACAACGAAGATAAGGACGATAATCCGAACAATGTATATATATATATATATATATATATATATATATATATATATATATATATATATATATATATATATATATATATATATATATATATACGTTTCATTAAATAATATAGACAAGTGTCGTCTATTTATTTTATGTAAATTTTGTTCGTAACATCTGATAAGTTTGATAACATTATCATTAAACGAAGAAAGAAATTCACAATATTGATCCATATTTTTTAATATATTCTAAGCTGGCTTACTTAAGCCATTATCAAAGATGTAAATTACAAACATATTAAACAATATACGGACACGACAGTGATGATAGTCTGTCATTGTTTACATAGATAATCTCTAAGCAACGATAAACACGCGCATATAAGACGCTAGAAGCGAAAATCG